ATAACTTTCATGCCCCACTGTAATCATAATCACCCCCCCCCCCTCGTCCTGCCCAATCTCCGCGCCGGTCACCCCCTTCGCTCGCATATATGAACCGCGATTTCCCGTTCCAATACATGCGCAAACAAGAAAACAAAATAAAGTAATTATGTGAACGCGTTTAGTTACCTGCCCCGGTCTGTCACCTTGCGCCCAGCCTTGCGCCTATGCTACGTACCGTACTTCCCTCCCGCCTGGGGGGACAGGTAACTGCACAGCACACCATCTCGGATCAGGAACCTATATCGACTACAGTATTTCGATTTCGCTGCTATTTAAGGAAGAAAATGTTATTGCTGGACCGGAAGTCTCTGCGATATCGTCTCAGAAGAGTATCGAAGATCTCGGAGACTATCAGGCGAGAAATAGGCGGTGAGTTACTGTGCTGTCTGTTTGCTTTTCTTGCTTGGAGAGTTTGAATGTTGGCGCTTGTTTCTTGGCATCGTAGTACACCTTGCTTCCGCTAGATGGCACTACCAATCAGTCATGGAGTCGAAGTTTGGATCGTTCCCGAAGCTGCCGCTAGAGGCGCTCGTGGCTTTCTTTTCCCGCTGAGGGGAAACTTAAGCGGCAATCGTCAGCTGCCTCTAGTTTGGGGCTATGCGCTCTTCGTTACAGTTTGGCCCCCACCATTCGCAGTAGGCCATTCTATTCCTAGTGAATTTTTCAAAAGTCGTTTACTGAAGGATTCAGGGCAATACCCTATCAAACAACTCAGAAAGTTTTCTGCGAAAAGAGTTCTCCTCTGACCGCAGAAATTTTCATGACTATACAGTGGCGCCCCTTGTGGTCAAGGTATGTAACTTGACGGAGAAAGGTTTTGGGATCTTGATGAAAGGCCTTGGGCGTAGGAATGAACAGGAACCAAGCTATTCTGTCGTCTGTCTACGACTGGACATTGTGTCGTCGATAAATGTGTTGTTTCTAGTTGAGTGATAGTGCGGACGTACGTAATTCTTCACGGATACATAGCTTAAAGCGGTGAGTTTTAATTTCAAACATTGACAATTTGTCAGAGAAACAGAGCATTGAGAAATCTAGGGCTTCCAGCTTTGTGAGTGTTTACGATGCTTGGGAGCCCAAGATGTTTTTTTCGTTTAAAATTTTGCCAGCGGCTACGAAAGCGCACGATTGACCACTACAGCACTCTATTTATGGCTGTTTCAATATTTTAAGTTTAGGAAACTTTGTTTTTCAGCTGCCTTGTGGCCTGTGAAAAGTTTGCTTTTTTGCTGTTTTGTTGCTTGTTTGTCTTTGAAAACTGTAATTGTTTTTTTGTTCAAGTCTTTTTTGTCACATATTTGCCCTCCTCTTCCACATCATATTTATCACAAGATAATCTATGAATTCACTTTGCCTCTCATAGAAGCAATTATCTATTCTTCTAATAATTTATTACCATAAATTTTTTGTTGTTGATAATTGGTGATTTTTAATCCCAGGTCCCAATGGTTTTTTAGGGTGTGGTACTTTTCCGAAGCGTGTCAATAAAACAAGTAGATCTGAGTAGAATTTTATCTAGCTGAAGCATGAATTTTTTGACAGCTACAGCATTATTTTGCTTGCCTTGTATGGTAATTAGCAACAGTGTGAATATTGTTTCACACTTTCATTATTGTCTTGATTTTTATTTTATTTTCATTTGCCTCAAAATTATTCTGGTTTGTTAAACATTCAAAATTTGTATTTGCGCATTAAAATTCTTAGACTTCATGCCCTTGCATGTTTCAGACTCGTAACCAATTATTGACAGTAGAAATTTGCGCATCTTCTATTAATGCAAGCATGAAGATTTGTAACACATCTATCCTAAATCTGTTTCATTTGCTACTCATTTCCATTTTATTTTGATTTCAAAGTTTTGTTGCCAACATACCTCTGTTTTTTGTTTTCCCATTTTTAGGCTAAAATGCCTTCAGGACTAGGTGGCTCTTATAGGTCGTTAGCCGACGACGTTTACAAGAGCACAACTGTGGCCGAGAACAAGTTTAATATGATAGAGAGTGTCAAGAAAGCCTTTAGCTTCGTGGCGCCGGGCAACGGACGTTCAGATCCTCTCATTGTGCGAGATGATGGCCGCCCTGAACCCACCATAATACCTGCTATAAGGTAATGATTTGGAATTTTGTAACACTGTGGTGATGGTGCGAAACTATTGTTTCTCTGTCTTTAGAGGAGCAGAAGGTAACCAGACATTTATTAATGTCTGCTGAAAAAACGTTCAGTGCAAATATGCTACCAGCCTTCTGCTCTGCTAGGACGCCTCTCCCTTCTAATCCAAGCAGAATAGCCCTTGCTTGTTCTATTGGCCATTGATAAATCTTTCCACAAGATGGTGTTTTCACATTTCATATCTTTCCTAGGTTATGGTGTAGAGGAGCAGGTTCTCATTTACCTTTTTATGTCTACAGTTGTAAATAACTTTCATGCCCCACTGTAATCATAATCACC